GACTCTTTCTATTTCAGCATCTTTTATCTCCTGCTAGGAGCCCTGAAATGTACCTCATTTGTGTTCCAAGCAGCAGCAATCAAAATGAGGGAAGGACAGGCAAACTGAAATAAATAGGCTGTAGAGGCAATTTTTGTTTTGATCAGATTCTATTGTCTGTGTGAAATGGCATCATTTCTCTGGGGCACTCAGATGCATTGCCCAGCAGGGGAGAAACCAGTTAGGATAATAACAGTTCCACACACATCAGAGTAATAAATATCTGTCGTTCTTCTCTCCCTCTTTCCAAATACACCACACACACACACACACATGCACATGCATACACATATACACATGCATATTCACATAAGCACGCCATTGCACACATACATAGTCATATATTCATACCACATGCGCATGTATCATGCACACTCATGATATTAAATGAATAATGTCTACCAAACATACCATTAGGGTCTTCAAAAGCGGATCTAAGAGACCGCTGCTCAAGAACATGGCAATATATAGAGCTACAACTATGATTTCTCTTTTCATCTGTCATGGATCTCAAAACCTGCCATTACATCTCATGCTAATCTGTGCCAATATGGTGGCATAACCTGAGATTTCTCAAACAATGTACTATATTTTAAAATAATGAGGTTGAAAAGACAAAACGTAAGGCAAACAACTTAAATATTTACTGTCTGATTTGCCTTTTGGGTTTTGCTTTCTTCAACTTCTTTTTTCCTCTCTCGCCCAGCTCTTAAAAGTGTTTTGTATGCTCCTTCATTTTCATTGAGCATTATTATATTGACTAGCATCCTGTCTATTAGCTAGAAAGTTCTCTGAGATGTCAGAGAGGTATCTCTATAGTAATATCACCAGGGTTATTACCATTGAGAGTAATGACTTTGAAAGAGATTTCCTGGAAGAATCAGCTACAGGTTCCCTAGATCCCATCACAAACAATGACGCCAAGGAGAAAGTCAAAGAAGTAATGATTAAATCGTGTTAGGTCAATTAACTTTCCTTCCATAGTAATCATCTTATGAAATACAACAATTATGTTGTATTTTAATAAGTTCTGATGGTGTCCAAGGAGTTAGAACATTTTATAGTTATTTTTATAGTGAAAAAGCCGAGGCTTTTAAATACTATGAGATTTGGTAAAAGTCATTGAAGAAATTAAGTGACCAGCCAGGATATTCTCTTTTATGACATGTCTGTGTCCGTGTCCTGCCCATTTTCTTTTGGGTTCCTTGTCTCTTCTATGTTATATTGTTTTCTTTATATATTAGTACAAGAGTCCTTTGTAAGTGAGATCCATATTATATATATGTGTGTTTGTGTGTATATATACATATATATATATATATATATATATGTACACACACACAAATGGCAAATATCTTCTACTCTGGTTTACTTTGCACTCTCTTAATGGCGTGTTTTGATAAAATAATGATGCTAATTTAAATGTTTTCCATATTATTAGTCTTTTGCCTAATGGTCAGTGCTTTGTAACTGTGTAAGAAATTTTTGCCTCATGATATAAAAGTCTTTTTCCATGTTACCTTTCAAATTTAGTTCTATAATCTACCTGGAATTTATATTTTCATATAGTGAAAATCCTTCAGTGTAGGTCTACTGTTTTTCCCCCTGAACAAATTCTATTTTTTCCCTGAAAATTTATTTCAAATTGGAAGTTTGAAAGAAGATTTTGCTAGGTATGAAATTTTACGTTAGTGATATTTTCTTTAAGTGCTTTGAAGATATCATTACATTGTCTCTGGATTCCATGATTTTTATTGAGATGTCATCTATAATTCCTATTGTTGCTATTTTGAAGTTAATGGGTCTTTACTCCTAAATATATATTTTTTCTTTAACCTTGATTTTCTGCAAGTTTACACTGATTGGCCTGAATAAGATTTGCGTTGCATTAATTTTGCTTGGGTATCATAATACTCTTAAAGCAGTGGCTTGATATTTTCCATTCAGTTTGGGAAATTATCAGCCATTATCTTTTAAAATATTGCTTTTGCCCCATTACACATAGGATACACCCTATCTCATACGTCTGCTAATTCTTTTCATCTGTATTTTATTCTTTATATTTTCTAACTTAGCTTTCAGTTTGTAAATTCCTCCTTCAGCTGTGTCTAATTGCCACCAAATCCACCTATTGAATTCTAAACTTCAATTATTATATAATTTTCAGTTCTAGAATTTACATCTGACTTTTTTTATTTAGCATCTAGTCCAGTTAACTTCTTTGCCATGAGAATTCTCCCTCTTCTCACCCAATTCTTAAACACATTAACCATATTTTAAAGTTGTATCTACAAATAGATCTCTAACATGTCTCTATATATTGTCTTGGTTTTCAGTGATCCATTCTTGTTCCTCAGGAATGACCGGTAATTTTTTATTGAATGCTAGACACTACGTGCGAAAAATTGTAGAGATAACTTGAGCCTCTGGGTGGCCTTATCTTCTTCCAGAGAGGATTTATTTTTGTTTCTGAAAGGCTGGTAGGATTGAGTAGAGCACTGAAATCAAATCAGAGATTAAATTGATTAAAAGTAGGCCTTCAATTTTTTTTAAGAACTGGTCTATTTCAAGTTCATTGCCCCCCCCAAGTATAACCCACAGAAAACTCAAGGTACTTATCAGCGCACCTCTTCTTTGGTGGGCCCTGACCTGTAAGTTTTTCCTCTCTCCCCACAAATCTCATTAAAAAACATCTGAAGGCTCTGTTAAACTTCTTTGTATGTGGAATGTCAGGTTCACCATTTTTCACCTCCTCCAGCTTCTGCTGCATTAATGGCTCTCTAGTGCCTTAAGTTCCTCAAATAATCTGTTCAATGTTTCTAGCTGTTCTTGGTGGAAGTGTTATTCTACAGTATGATAGTCTACTTTAGGCAGAAATCCCTTTCTCTAGTTGTGGTGTGCAGGCTTCTCATTGCACTGGCTTCTCTTGTTGTGGAGCACGGGCTCTAGGCGTGCGGGCTTCAGTAGTGGCTTGCGGACTCTAGAGCGCAGGCTCAGTAGTTGTGGCACACGGGCTTAGTTGCTCCGTGGCATGTGGGATCTTCCCAGACCAGGGCTTGAACCTGTGTCCCCTGCATTAGCAGGCAGCTTCTTAAACACTGCACCACCAGAGAAGCCCTCTCAGTGTAATTTTAACTTGCATTTTTTTTCGTTAGTAGCAAAGTGAATCACATTTTCACACAACTACAGGCCATTCTTATTTTTTAATTAACTTCCTGTTAGATTTCTTGCTCAATTTTCTATCCAATTGTCAATCTTGTTTATGTTTAGAAGTACTTTATATATCAAAGATATTAACCCTTTGTCTAGTCTATGATAAAAGGTATAAATAATTTTCCTCAACTGGTAATATTTCTTTTTTTAAACATTTCTTCTGGTAGCTTTTCCACCCATAAGTTTGTGTTTATATAAAGTCAAATAGTTCCATTTTTTCTAACTACTTCTGTTTTGAGGCATACTAGCAAAGACTTCCTGCTCCCAAGCTTAGACAACTCCATCAGTAGTTTCTTCTGTAATTGTGTCTGTAAGGAACGTGTTGATGAGCAATTGGAAAATGGTCTATTTTCTAGAATTGACAGAGTGACAAAAGATATGACATGGTTAAGTCCAGCTGGAAGTTTCAAGTTTTGTTTTCGTTTTCCCAACCTAAAAGAACTCATGGGCACAGTCACTTTCATGTTGTCCTTGTAGGACTTGGGTATCCACGAGTCATGTTTCCTTATGTTATCCCCTTCCTGACTTTTCTCATCCACTCTCATGTCATCAACAATATAACATTATTCTACATGGACATCTCCCAAATTCCCACATGTCTAATTCTCAGTTTTCTTCCTCAGCATTAGATGCAAAACTTGTTTGGCATCTCCACTTAAATGACCCTCTTCACCTCCCTTCACTTTGTTTGTTTTATATATTGTCAAGTACTGACCTTCCATCCACCCAGGCTCAAAGATTAGTCACCTTACTTCTTGATTCTCAGCTTCAGTAAATCATTACCAAGAGTACAAGTTAAAGGTATCTTTCTTTGAAGAGATTATACACTGGATCTTTCCTAGCCTTGCTTCACCCTAACAGAAAGGTCAAATTGAACCTACTCTGGACTCAATAGGTATTCATGTAATGAAACTGAATTTAATCTTTTGTTTAAGTTATGGACTTGTCTAGTACTTTCTATCTTTGTATTTTCAAATGCCCTGGCTCTTCAAGCTGTGAAAACATAATAGATATTTAACTAAGAAGAGATTATTGTCCTTTTGACTATCTGTAAATTTTCTCACAATAAGAAATATGGATGTTAATTAGATTATAGTGATCATTTTTTCTATATGTACAAATATCGGATCAAGAAAAACAGTCTCCTTACAACTACATTTAGGCATGTTATATAGCTTCAGCCACAGCAAGTGATGACAAGCCTTATGAAACTGTAAATAGAGAACAATTACAACAGAAATTAACTAAAGATGGGATTCTCAACGATCCAAAATGGCGGCATCTGAGGTCTTCTAGGGGAGCAACTGAGCCATTCATTTGTGTTTAAACTTCACTGCCAGGAGAATGAATCTTTCAGCTTTCAGGCATGCCTGGAGCAAAATAGGTTTTCTTTTTTCATTCTCTTCCAAGTTTAAGCTACATAAGCTCACAAATTTCCCCAAATTCAAATTGTGGGTTGTTCTGATTAAACCAAGTTTTGCCACTTTCATGCTACCAGCTTTCTAATTTGAGACATTGTGCATGTATGTATGTGATTATCTCACAAATTAGAGAGAATTTAGAATATGACAGCACTAAAGTATTCAAGCAACTCAACCTACTATTTGCTCCTTTAAGCTTTTCTGCAAAAGAAGTTCAATCCCAGGAGTATTTTTAAACTTAAGAGGGCAATGGAGGGTGACAGAACAATTGGCAGTCAGGCTGTTCTAATTCTCTATTAATCAAGGACTATCTATCTTCTTTTTCAGGGCAAGGCGAGGACACACCTAGAGTTCCTGTGAAAAGCGAAGGCTCTGGTGACACAGAAAATTCTACAAGTCCTGATGGTAAGTTTCTGAGCTATTTGAGTCACACAAAGTACAAATCTGGCACATTTTCTCTGTGTAATCTAGGATTAAGGGAGCTGTCTATTCTATGAGTCAACATATTCAGTTTGAACAAGGTAAAGTTCAAAAACCATTTTCTACTGGGAACTAACAAAATTGGCAGCCTTTTGAAAAAAAACAGCATGTGCCTCCGTTGAATCTTACTTCCCAACACCAAGGAAACAGTGGGTAATTCCAAGGCTAAACTGAAGTCTAGCGGGTGAACCTTATGGAAACACTCAGCAAACACTCAGCATTCAGAGGAGCCCTGGCTTGAGTTTGGGCTAAGGTTATTCTTGGACCTTCATCACTTCACCTCACTGTATCACACATCAGATGGCTTGGCCAAAAACACAGTGAGTCTTTAAAAGTACTTTATAAATAAATTTACAAAAACCTTTTTTTAGTCACATCTTACTTTGAAGGCATCTAGAAATTGTGAGCCTCAGGAATATTATAGTCTTGCCCCTGCACACAGTGATACTGGAAACCCTTTGAAATATCATCATTTAGAAAAACAACTATTTGAGCACACATGATTTCTAAATATTTAATTCCACTTGCCCACAGAGCTTAAGAGAACCAGAATTATTGTTCAGTGATCAACTGTTTATATATATATTGTTGTTTGGGTTATTTTAGCCAGGAAAACAAAGCCAATTACTTTGAGTCGATAATGACCTTGGGAAACTTTCAGCCACTGGTAGAAGTTACTTGGTGGTTTTAAATGGTTTCCTATACCATGCATTCCACCCTGCTACAAGGCTTGCCCTCACCTAATTGCCTCCCTTAATCATAAGCCCTTCTGTACCAACTGATTTTTTAATTAAGTACTTTTTAAATTTTTTTTAAAAATTTATACAATTTTTTAAAGGTCACTTTCCAATTACAGTTATTACAAAATATTGGCTATATTCCCCATGTTCTACAATACATCTTTAAGCCTATCATACACCCAAAAAAACTGATTTTTTTTTTTAACCCCTGGGCATGCTTTATCTAGGGGAATAATATTGTCAAACCCCAGATTCATTCCATTAAAAGCCACCCCATGTTGGTGATGCTCAGTTGAATGAAACCTTCCCCAACCTTGTTGTGACACTATAGGCATGGTTCTTAACTAGTTCTCTGCAAAGCATGTTCCAAAGAATACGAGGTCCATGCAATGCTCAATGAATGAAAGGGAGATAAATGTGGGAAATCTTGGAGATTTGCCATGTACATTCCAGGCTCTCCAAAGTCTCAGCTGTAAAGAAACTTCTTAACATCATTTAACATTGCTTTTCCCAAACTTATTTGATCATGAAATGCTTTTCATACTAACACTTATTAGGTTTTGGAACTAGGGACCGTTGGGTTGGAGGAAGGAACAGAAAAGGAACACTCACCCATATTTTTGTAGACAGGATAGAAAGTGCATACATTATTCTTTTTTTAGAGGTACACTTCCTGTAACTGGCCAGTTTATACCTGGGGTAAAGAATGGGCTCACACACCATTAGAAACCAAGGCTAGTTTGCAGGAGGAACCAAGAGACCTCCTTGAGAGAGAGTTGGGTGGGCTGCCATCCAATGTCATTCCCTCTTTCAAGTCTCTTTGGAATGTGAGATCCAGCACCTGCCACTGTTTTTCTTGAACATGAAAACTTGATTAAAGTAAAAGAGATTTCGGGCTTTCCTGGTGGCGCAGTGGTTGACAGTCTGCCTGCTGATGCAGGGGACACGGGTTCATGCCCCAGTCCGGGAAAATCCCACATGCCGTGGAGCGGCTGGGCCCGTGAGCCATGGCCGCTGAGCCTGCGCATCTGGAGCCTGTGCTCCGCAACGGGAGAGGCCACAACAGTGAGAGGCCCGCGTACCGAAAAAAAAAAAAAGTAAAATAGATTTAGATTGTTGCTTTTGTTCCAACAAATGAAGACTATCCAAATGAGAACAAACAGAGGTTACTTATTCAGGGCTACCAAAGCATGGGTGTCACGCAGCCATCATCGCTTGTGTTTGGCCAGCTCAAAGGCAGGGAGGGAAGTGGGGAACTTCTAACAAGAGGGAAGACTTCAGGCATCCTTGTTTGGAGGTTGCTGGTAAGGGGAAGCTGCACTTGGGCTAACTAGAAGTGGCCGATTGGTTTGGGAACATATTTGGCTTTCCCTGGCTGGTCCTGTGTTGGGAGCATGGAGTAAAATACAGGGAAGCTGGCAGTCACTGACCAAGTCCTGAGCATTCTGAGCTGCTTGCTCCAAAGGTTTGAAGTCAGAATTCTATTGTTATGTTTGGCCTAGCCATTGTTCATCTGTATAAGTCTTGCAGTTTATAATATGGGCTTTGATGCTTTAAAAATACCAATCTAATTAAACCTACTGACCCTTGAAAATTTCCAATGTCTGCTGTGCCTGCTCTGGGCTCCTTCTGGACAATGGTATTAATGAATTACGTGTGCTATGTGTATGCAGATGCTTACATAGAACACACGGTAGAGTAAAAGCACACGTTTGATCATTGCTGTGCGATCTGGTTAGATGTTTTGCTTTTCTATTTCATGGTGTCCACTGCCAGTGCACCCACTGGCAAGTTTACAGTGTCAGTTCTGAATTTCAAAATTGAAGACCTGGCAAACCAAGCAGGCCTACTGGCATTGCTGTTTTAGAAGAAGCTGCTTACCTCTCTGCACGTCGATGATCTGGTTTGCTTTGTTTCCTCTTTATTTTCATAGACATCTATTAAGGCCTTTGAATTTACCTAAGGATGGTAATAAATACACACAAACTATCAACCCAAAAATCTGGTATGAAATGACAACTCAGCTCCTACAGTTTAGTAAAGAAGCAACTCTGCCCTCCCCATTCCCCCACCAGTAAAAATCTATAAGAGTGACCCCCAAATCTTGAATGAATGAAAACAAACTGAAAGAAGTATAAGCTAGGAAATCAGGAATGTAACAATTCACAGGCCATTTTAATATGTTTAAGAGATTTCTTTAACCTTTTTGTTTTCCTTTCTGGTTCCAGTTGAAATGAATAATCAGGTTGACAGTGTAAATGACCCAACAGAGAGTCAGCAAGAAGATTAATAGGTGAGTTGCCTCTGTTACAAGATTTTCAATTGATTAAATGGGCCAGCCATAGAAACTGTTTGTAAGAGGCATGTTGGATTCCCCTCAGTTCTATCCAGTCCCGTGGATAGAACTTTGAAACGTTTAAAAGTTTAGCTTCAGACTAAACTTTTAAAATATTTATACCAAATAACATATTGTAAGAAACTTACCATCTTTAAAGGAAAAAGATAAGCTATAGCATATCCAGATCATGCAATACCCTGGTTTTCTGAGCTTTGATAACAAGAAAAAAAATTTTCCATGCATCTCACCTCCTGGCTTCCTGGAATGATCAAATTATTTCAGCAACCCCCAAGCTGATTCTGAAGCATTGCTTTTCCAGAAGTTACCTGCTGAGTTGTTTAGTATATCTGTTTTTAAGCCTAACACTAAACTTTGCCCTGGAGAATGGGAAAGGAATTTGAGTGTATTTGGGCTGATAGAAGCCCGCCTTATGTCCCGTCCTCTCACACCACTACCTGTGGACCTGCACCTCTACACAAAGGTTTGTTGAGTTGAAGGAGCCTCACGGAATTCCACGGGAACATAAATGGGGCCAGACGATGATTACGAGTTTTTCCAGACCAACGTTCTAAATCACTCAGCCAAGTCTGAAGTATATCTAGAACAATGAGTGGTCTGTAACACTTTTTTGTATCTTGAGGGCTGGAGAGAAGAATTAAAGAAAAGAAGCCAGCCTAGCTATTCTGATTCCTAGCTTAAAATACTAAGCTGTGAAAAAAACACTATGGGATAAACGAATTGTGCATCATCCAGGGCAAGACACAAATACGTTGATACAGTTGCCTCTGTCGACTGAAAAAAAAAGCACAACCTAAAAGTTGAGAATTATGTTTTATTTGGTGGACCTTCTGAGGACTTCAAGCCTAGGATAGCTCGTCAGGACTGCTCTGAAGAGGTAAGGGGGGGAAGCAGGAACTACAGGAGTTTTACAACAAAGACCAGGTAGTTGGAACATGAAAAGATTACTGTTAATTAAGGAAAACCAACTATCTCAAGTTAATGAATTTAGCCCTTTTCTACTTATGGGAAGATGCAAGAATCTGGGCTCTTTGGAATCATTCCTTTGATGTGCAGCTCAGCTATCTGGGGCCAATATCCTGTTCTTTCCCATCCTGAGTCCCCTCGGGGTGCACCATTAGGGGTGGCTGCAGTGGCTGACGACTTACCATGGAGCGACAGAATATGACAGGCAATATTTTTCATTCACAGTGCTTCCCCATGGTCATAAATTGGACCAGCATTTGGAAGCAAAAAAACACAAATTATTATGATTAGTATAACTAGTAGTAATCTGGTTGCAATAAACCATCAAGTCCACAGGAGAGCTAGCTGGAGAAGCCAAATACTAGAAGGATCAGGTAAAGAGAAAAAGATAAATGTTTCATCTTTGTCTACAAAGGTATACTTTATCAACATGTAGGTCATAGCAGAAGAGAAAAGATTTTTTTCTGGGAAAAAAAACTTAGAAGTATATTTCAGCAAGTGATAAAATTATAAATTATATTTATCAGTTAATTAATTCCTGATGAGGTCCTGAGCCAAGATGGTGGAGTAGAAGGACGTGCTCTCACTCCCTCTTGCGAGAACACCAGAATCACAACTAGCTGCTGGACAATCATTGACAGGAAGACACTGGAACTCACTCACCAAAAAAGATACCCCACATCCAAAGACAAAGGAGAAGCCACAGTGAGATGGTGGGAGAGGCGCAATCACAATAAAATCAATCCCGTAACTGCTGGGTGGGTGACTCACAGACTGGAGAACACTTATACCAGAAGTCCACCCACTGGAGTGAAGGTTCTGAGCCCTGTGTCAGGCTTCCCAACCTGGGGGTCCGGCAACAGGAGGAGGAATTCCTAGAGAATCAGACTTTGAAGGCTAGCGGGATTTGATTGCGGGACTTTGACAGGACTGGGGGAAACAGAGGCTCCACTCTTGGAGGGCACACACAAAGTAGTGTGTGCATCAGGACCCAGTGGAAGGAGCAGTGACCCCACAGGAGATTGAACCAGACCTATCTGCTAGTGTTGGAGGGTCTCCTGCAGAGGCAGGGGGTGGCTGTGGCTCACTGTGGGGAAAAGACACTGGCAGCAGAAGTTCTGGGAAGTACTCCTTGGCATGAGCCCTCCCAGAGTCTGTCATTAGCCCCACCAAAGAGCCCAGGTAGGTTCAAGTGTTGCGTTGCCTCAGGCCAAACAACCAACAGGGAGGGAACCCAGCCCCACCCATCAGCAGTCAAGCAAAATAAAGTTTTACTGAGCTCTGCCCACCACCGGTCCCTCCCATCAGGAAACTTGCACAAGCCTCTTAGCCTCATCCACCAGAGGGCAGAGAGCAGAAGCAAGAAGAACTACAATCCTGCAGCCTGTGGAACAAAAACCACATTTACAGAAAGATAGACAAGATGAAAAGGCAGAGGGCTATGTACCAGATGAAGGAACAAGATAGAACCCCAGAAAAACAATGAAATGAAGTGGAGATAGGCAACCTTCCAGTAAAAGAATTCAGAATAATGATAGTGAAGATGATCCAGGACCTCAGAAAAACAATGGAGGCAAAGATGGAGATGCAAGAAATGTTTAACAAAGACCTAGAAGAATTAAAGGACAAACAGAGATGAACAATACAATAACTGAAATGAAAACTACACTACAAGGAATCAGTAGCAGAATAACTGAGGCAGAAGAACGGATAAGTGACCTGGAAGACAGAATGGTGGAATTCACTGCTGTGGAACAGAATAAAGAAGAAAAGAATGAAAAGAAATGAGACAGCCTAAGAGACCTCTGGGACAACATTAAACGCAACAACATTCGCATTATAGGGGTCCCAGAAGGAGAAGAGAGCAAGAAAGGAACCGAGAAAATATTTGCAAAGATTATATTCAAAAACTTCCCTAACAAACATGGGAAAGGAAATAGCCATGAGAGTCCCATACAGGATAAAACCAAGAAGAAACACGCCGAGACACATAGTAATCAAACGGGCAAAAATTAAAGACAAAGAAAAATTATTGAAAGCAGCAAGGGAAAAACGACAAATAACATACAAGGGAACTCCCACAAGGTTAACAGCTGATTTCTCAGCAGAAACTCTACAAGCCAGAAGGGAGTGACACGATATATTTAAAGTGATGAAAGGGTAGAACCTACAAGCAAGATTACTCTACCCAGCAAGGATCTCATTCAGATTCGATGGAGAAAGCAAAAGCTTTACAGACAAGCAAAAGCTAAGAGAACTCAGCACCACCAAACCAGCTCTACAACAAATGCTAAAGGAACTTTTCTGAGTGGGAAACACAAGAGAAGAAAAGGGCCTACAAAAACAAACCCAGAACAATTAAGAAAATGTTAATAGGAACATACATATTGATAATTACCTTATTGATAATTACCTTAAACGTGAATGGATTAAATGCTCCAACCAAAAGACACAGGCTTGCTGAATGGATATAAACACAAGACCCATATATATGCTGCCTACAAGAGACCCACTTCAGACCTAGGGATACATACAGACTGAAAGTGAGGGGATGGAAAAAGATATTCCATGCCAATGGAAATCAAAAGAAAACTGGAGTAGCAATACTCGTATCAGATAAAATAGACTTTAAAATAAAGAATGTTACAAGAGACAAGGAAGGACACTATATAATGATGAGATCAATCCACGAAGAAGATACAACAATTATAAATATATATGCACCCAACATAGGAGCACCTCAATACATAAGGCAACTGCTAACAGCTATAAAGGAGGAAATCAGCAGTGACACAATAAGAATGGGGGACTTTAACACCTCACTTACACCTATGGACAGATCATCCAAAATGAAAATAAATAAGGAAACAGAAGCTTTAAATGACACAATAGACCAGATAGATTCAATTGATATTTATAGGACATTCCATCCAAAAACAGCAGATTACACTTCCTTCTCAAGTGTGCAGGGAACATTCTCCAGGATAGATCACATCTTGGGTCACAAATCAAGCCTCAGTATATTTAAGAAAATTGAAATCATATCAAGCATCTTTTCTGGCCACAACACTATGAGATTAGAAATGAATTACAGGGAAAAAAAAAACGTAAAAAGCACAAACAAATGGAGGCTGAACAATACGTTACTAAATAACCAAGAGATCACTAAAAAAAAGAGGAAATAAAAAAATACAGAGACAAATGACAATGAAAACATGACAATCCAAAACCCATGGGATGCAGCAAAAGCAGTTCTAAGAGGGAAGTTTATAGCTATACAAGCCTACCTCAAGAAACAGGAAAAATCTCAAACAATCTAACCTTACACCTAAAGGAGCTAGAAAAAGAACAAACAAAACCCAAAGTTAGCAGAAGGAAAAAAATCATAAAGATCAGAGCAGAAATAAATGAAATAGAAACAATAGCAAAGATCAATAAAACTAAAATCTGGTTCTTTGAGAAGATAAACAAAATTTATAAACCATTAGCCAGACTCATCAAGAAAAAGTGGGAGAGAAATCAATAAAATTAGAAATGGAAAAGGAGAAGTTACTGCAGAAATACGAAGCATCCTGAGAGACTACTACAAGCAACTCTATGCCAATAAAATGGACAACCTGGAAGAAATGGGCAAATTCTTAGAAAGGTATAAACTTCCAAGACTGAACCAGCAAGAAACAGAAAATATGAACAGACCAATCACAAGTAATGAAATTGAAACTGGGATTAAAAAGGTTCCAAGGAACAAAAGTCCAGCACCAGATGGCTTCACAGGTGAATCCTATCAAACATTTAGAGAAGAGCTAACACCTATCCTTCTTAACTCTTCCAAAAAATTGCAGAGGAAGGAACACTCCCAAACTCATTCTATGAGGCCACCATCACTCTGATACCAAAACCAGACAAAGATACTACAAAAAAAATTACAGACCAATATCACTGATGAATATAGATGCAAAAATCCTCAACAA